ACCTTCAAATGCCAGTTCTCAATTTTCATTCTAATATGTAATTTTAATCGTCAATAAATAATAAATAATAGTTAAGTTAAATGCTGTACTAGGCTTTTCCCCGAAATGCCTCGATTAATAAAAACCCTACAAGGGCCAAAGCTATAGTGTTTTGGTAAATTTCACCTGCGTAAATATTTCGACAGAAGAAGTCCACTAAATTCCATTATCTAACCTAATGTCTATCGAGGTGTATACGGGGATGGGAGATTAGAGTAGGTCTAGTCTCAAATCAACCTATTGCATTTTACAATCCTGATACGCACAAGAAGAAAAAGACTGCATTAAGCAAGAATTGAACTCGCAACTAGTCGATGGCAACGACTAAGGTTACCACTACTCCATTAATGCTGTGTTCAGATATGTGCGAAGAAGGGCTCCCGCTACAGGCTCAATGTTATGAGTTTGTACATCACTTAGTATGCCTCATCCTATTCAAGTTTGCCGTAGTTAATGACATGACGACGGGATCAGGCGGATTCATAGACGATTTAAAGAAATCACATGTTGTACAAGGCGGAAAGGTACATTGCGGCGTTACAGCAACTACATAATTGATCGATTTATACTAGCAATCCTCACAAGAAGGATCTAAATGTGCGTAAGGCGGTGAATAGGAAAAATAGACAAGTGACAGAAACAGACCTGTTCATCCAATGATGAGGTTAGCCTTGAGGTTGTTGCCATCAGTGACGGTGTAATTGATGCTGAACTTCCTTCCTTTGGCATTGGCAACATTGTAGCTGGCGAGCTGCTTCTCCCTCTGAGCATCCCTCTCGGGAACGCCATAGTATTCTTGGTTAATAACGAGCGCGGTTTGCTCGTTGGAGAGGTTAGTCACAATGTCGCACCACCTCTTATAGTTGTGGACACCGAAGGTGGCGACAAAGTTCTCGCCAGTGTCGGAAACAAAGCGGACACTGCCAGAAGTGCCGCTACCACCCATGGTGAGGACGTATTCGCCCTTGGATTCATCCCAGGTGCCGCCGTTGGCGTACTTCCAGACGGTCTTTTCGACGTTGCGGAAGAAAGCATTGGGGTTGGTCTGGTAAACATGGATGGTGATGGTGTAAGACATTCTAAAATATTGTATTATTAGAATCCGCGGATAATAAGTAGAAATTCGGACGAAACTGCAAGGATGTTAAACGAGTAAGTGTCTGAGAAAGAGCAAATCATGTCAGCTTTAAAACTATTCTAGATTGAATCGGAGAAACTCACTCGAGAGTGTGAATGAGAACTTGTTTGGAGTAGAATGCAGAGACTGTCTCTCTTTTATAGTAGACTCCACCTTATTCCTGATGTTTGTTTAGAAATATTTACATTCTTTTACCTTCCAGATCGGTAATCCCGAAATCCTGTCAAAGATGACATTAGTAGCCTCTGAGAAGACAAAGACCCTCATTTCCCCAAAATTTGCCGAGGATTGAATTCCAACTGGTTGAATGGAGGAAAGACTGTCGATGTTTCCACAGCACGGAAATGAAAGTAAACAGGTTCTTTGTGTGCCGATTCCATGGAGCCTTCAGAGTCCCGTCCCATGGTATCGATATCTTCACAGCCGTAGATGTGTCGGGAGGTCGCCTTATTCTGTCGGTGAGAAGAAGCCACAGTAAGGTACTTCACGCGGTCCTGAAGAAATCGGAATCTTACCGTATAGAAGCACCTTGGACTTAATAAAAACAATTGTTGGAAGGTTATGAACCCAGTACAGAGATGAAGCTACCAAACCACGTAAATAGCAAAAACCTAACATAATATGCATCGATTATTATTAAGTCGATTAAGATCGATATCATATTCTGATTTGTTCTATACTTATGGATGTCTTTAAGGATCTTTATGTAACTCGTCATCTTGAACCTTCTTGAACATTAAGGGAACTGAATTTTAGCGGCGATAGAATGCTCTAGTTGACATCTAGGAAGCCAAATCTTGCAAAAAATGTGTAGGAATGTCAGATGCAAACGAACAATTTGCCCTTAATGTTCGTCACGGGGAGACTGAACGACTTCAAGTGGGATTATTAGGTAGGCGAAATACACGCCATTTGAAAGATCACCTTACCTGACGGCAATTTTACCAAGTATGGTGAAACAATGGACATATTGATCAGATGGTCATTCCTCCTCGTGAAATCATCAGTCATGTTTCAACACCGAGGGGGGATCGGCAAGCCAGACGTCAACTAAACGAATCATGCATAATGGAGTCGAGTACATGATACTGAAACATACATTATCGACACCCCAATTCAGTAGAACGACCGTGCAAGACGACTCGCATCTAGTCACTTGATACTTATACAGATGAACGTGTGAGAACGAAGAGAGACATATTTCAAGTTTCAGGGGTCTAAACCAGATATTACGTCGACGTATGAGTTGGAAATTGCGAATCTGCGAAGTTGCCGCGAAGTTGCCGCCAGTGTCAGTGGTGGTTATGTTCGTTCTATGTTGAGGATGGTCGGAAAAATATTATAGATGGTCCTTGATTGATGAGACGGGAACATTGGATGTCGATTAAAATGACAGATGTAAAGGAAGCATAAGTTCTACAGATGTTTGAGAGATGTTTGAGTTACAACTGTAGGATCGTGGGAAAGCGGGGTTGCGGGGTTGCGATCACTTCCGCTTCTACCAAGTGACCACCAGCAGGAAAACTTGGCAACTTGAAGCGGTTCTGCCGTTGAACAAACTTCATGTGATTCAATTATTATACAATGCTGTATTTGGACTGCTATTTGGTTCAGTGCTTCCATTGTATGTATAAGCTTCTTTCAGACTGACTAAGGCATAACTTCAGGCACCTGGATAGAATAGGTATGACCGAATGCCACCTGTTTCGACACCCAATAACGTTGCTATTAGCTTAACATTATTTCTCCACAGGGATTCTTAATTTACTGACTACAAGTTTAGCCTAGTAAGTTGCATGTAATGCTCCTGATCCAGTGACCATTGATCATTGCGCCGTGACCTCTTAATCTAAGAGTCTGGCACGCACACATCCCCGAACAATTTGCATAATTAATCTCGTTTCAATCCTTTCCAGACGAAGATTCTAAGAGGTTTATTATAATTGTGGAGCAAAGTGCAATAAAATACATGGAGTATTAGAGTATCGCCGGTGAGCTAGCAAGTAACATAAGTACGTACTGATCTGGTTCAAATAGGCATTAATTATTTTATTAGAATTGTAACTTGTAACAATTGTCTTGCCTTATTCGACTCAAAAGACCGGTTCTACTTATATGTGGCTCTACTTTGGCGGTGAGTGAAGACAATTACCCTGCGACTGCACAGTCCAAGTTGCATGTCCTGTTCATGCCCTGTTTCCCGAGGATCATGAAGTTTGGGGTAGTTCTGGTTTTGGATAACAGGTATTCGCATGAACCATACGACCAGGGTGCCATGAGTAATGTAAGTTGTATTTGCCTCCCATATTGAGGGGTTATGTGGTGAATTACTAGAGGCGCAGCTTCCATCGGTCCGTGCAGTTCACCTCCAGGATAGATGTTCTCCATTCAAATCGATTCCGCTACGCAGTCAAATGAGACAGGTTTTTTTTTTTTTGAAATGCGTATGAGCCAGAGGTGGATTTGGATGTATAAAAGGAAAGCAGCATTTTGTTTGCCAACCCAAGCAACCCGACCTTTCTCAGACAGGTACAGTAAATCCTTTCCGCGACTTTCAGCTACATCTGATTCTTATAGCAGTCTTACAGACCCACTTCTTAACAAGAATCTAACGTTGGTTACCATTTGATTGGTTATTTTCACCGCATTGACCAGATTCATTAGATGTCTTACACCATCACCATCCGTGTTTTCCAGACCAACCCCAACGCTTTCTTCCGCAACGTCGAAAGGACCGTCTGGAAGTACGCCAACGGCGGCACCTGGGGTGATTCGAACGACGAATACGTCCTCACCATGGGTGGCAGCGGCACTTCTGGTAGCGTCCGCTTTGTCTCTGACACTGGCGAGAACTTTGTCGCCACCTTCGGTGTTCACAACTACAAGAGGTGGTGCGACATCGTGACCAACCTCTCTAACGAGCAGACCGCGCTCGTCATTAATCAAGAGTACTATGGCGTTCCTGAGAGGGATGCTCAGAGGGAGAAACAGCTCGCCAGCTACAATGTTGCCAATGCCAAAGGAAGGAAGTTCAGCATCAATTATACCCTCGCCGAGGGCAACAACCTCAAGGCTAACCTCATCATTGGATGAATAGGTCTGTTTATTCCGTTTATTTATCTTTTAAATCAATTCTCTAACACAACTGTAGTTCTTGTCTGAACTCCAAGACGCCAATGAGCTGGAATCGACTACTATGAATGCATCCGTCAGTAGTTGTAACGCCTGAATGTACTTCTCTTGTATAAAATGTGATCTTGATTCAATATTTCTGGGTCTGCTTTATAGCCCAAAGATGTCACGACTTCAAGACCACTTGCAGTAGGATGAACATGCGAGCGATTTTCAGTGTACCGGCAGACCCGTGCCAGGACATTTAGGAAGATTACTGAAGACTTAAACGACTCCAGTTGGAATTATTTATATGTGGTAGAAAAATAAAACCCATAGGAGCAGTAATAGCTAGGATTCGGATCATGGATAAATGAGAAACGCCGAATTACGCGCGTCTTCTTCGGATATTACCTGAGAGTGTGTGTGAGAGAGAGGAAAGATCAGATTCGAGCGCTCGAAGCGCGGGGTAATCGGTGGCCGAGTACCCGGTCTCTGGCGTTGTTGATGCCTTCGCCTTCATCAATCCACTTGTCATTCAATAAGGTTAACAACCAAGACCGGAGGCTCATATGAATGATTACAGGAGTAGTTTTTTTTTAAATTTCCGACTTTTCAGGCAGTAATTAGCCACGTTGACTTGATAAGAAAGGAAAATGATAAGGACTTACAGCACATCGTTACATTTTCTAAATAAACAGGGAGAAAAGATTGCATTAAGCAAGAATCGAACTCGCGGCTACTCAATGGCAACGACCAAGATGACCACTATCCCGTTAATACTATGCTGGAATGTGTCAGAAGGACAGTTTGTCCACAGATCCTGAATTAGATTGTGGTGGAGTTTGAGAATTGACAGTTTGTTACTCTTTGCAGTAGCTTCAATTGCGTTACAGCAGTACAGTCTAGGCACCATCCTTGTCACAGCACTATTCAACGTGGGGATATCTTTTTACCTGGTCAATGTTTTACAGATATTATTTTATAATATGATAGCGCATCATCAAAAATACCTTGGAAAAAAATTAGGGAATTTTCCAACATATTTCTGAGGTGGTTACCTTAGGACAAACTTTTCAGCCTGTTTAATTGCATGTAACTAGTCCTTGTCCCACAATGTTTCCTTGCCCAATCCCACCCAGCCTTCATAAATGGGATGATATTTTAATTTGAAATGATCTTTATGCATCTTCTCTTGGATCATAATTAGCACAAAGATCCATTCACTGGTAGACAGACATTTGAGGCTTACCCTGGTCACCCAGATGAGGGACATATGAGGCCCAGTGATCACCTATGGCTCATTTAATGATATATATCAACTTTGGTCTGGATGGTGATGTTCATATATCACTAGTAAATGTGTCACAAATTTTCGCTGTCTTTAACCACCACCTATTAACTATTTCTGGGTGCTGTGGAATATAATATCCATTTATTAGAGTTGTAGGGTGCTCAGATATGAATAATAAATTCACAGAGACTTTGTTTGGGAGTGTAGGACAATGAGATCTTTTCCATAAATAGTTTCATGTGTATATATCATAGTACCAAGATATCAGGACACGCTGTGCTGTAGGTGCCATGCTATAGCCACTGGGACAAGGAGGAGTCCTGGGACAAGGATGGTGCCTAGACTGTATCGGAATCGGAAATTTTCATAAATAGTTTAAAGAAATCATATTTTGTACAAGACGGAAAGGCACATTGTGGCGATACAACTACTGATTGGTGTGTCATTAATAGTGGCAATCGATTTTAGATCATGTACTTTTCATGCTAGACCTAGAAATACGTGAGAAGATAAACAGGGAAAGAGACAAATGACAGAAACAGACCTGTTCATCCAATGATGAGGTTAGCCTTGAGATTGTTGCCATCGGGGACGGTATAATTGATGGTGAATTTCCTTCCTTTGGCATTGGCAACATTGTAGGTGGCAAGCTGGTTCTCTCTCTGAGCATCCCTGTTAGGAACATCGTAGTACTCTTGGTTAATGACGAGCGCGGTCTGCTCGTTGGAGAGGTCGGTCACAACGTCGCATCACCTTTTGTAGTTGTGAACACCAAAGGTGGCGACAAAGTTCTCGCCAGTGTCAGAGACAAAGCGTACGCTGCCAGAGGTGCCGCTACCGCCCATGGTGAGGACGTATTCGCCGTTGGATTCACCCCAGGTACCGCCATTAGCGTACTTCCAGACGGTCTTCTCGACATTGTGGAAGAAAGCGTTCGGATTGGTCTGGTAAACACGGATGGTGATGGTGTAAGACATTCTAAAAGAACAGATTGTTAGAATCAGCGGATAATGAATAAAAATTCGACGAAACTGCAAGGATAACAAGTGTCTGAAGGCGAATCATGTCAGACTTATAAAACCATGCTAGACTGAAAGAGAACTCACCCAGTGAGTGTGGATGAGAATTTGTTTGGAGTAGAATGCAAAAACTATCCCTCTTTTATAGTCAGACGCCTCCCTATTCCTGACGACTATTTATATATTTGTCTTTCCTTTCGGCTATCCGAAACTTCCTACAGCTGATATATTCTAAAGAAATATCCCCGTTTACCCGGAATTTTCCAGACATTGACAACTGGTTGAATGAGAGAAAGACCATCGATGTCACCATAGGACGAAAATGAAGGTAAAGCAGTTCTTTCTGTCAATTCCATGGAGCCTTCAAATCTCCGTCCTCGGGGCATAAGATCAATACCTGCATCATTATCCATAGCCGTAGATGGGTCGATAAGTTGTCACTGGATTCTATCTAGAAGTCACGGTAAGTAAGATAGTTCGGTTAAGAACAGAATCTTACTGAATAGGAACACTTGAACTTAATGAATGTCACGGTGATTCGTACTATGAACCCACAGGAAGTGACACATGGTGTTACGGGCTGATCCTAACGAAGGGTTCCGAAGCGTGACCGAAGTAACGGATGAAGTCACACTAAAGAA